AAGGGAAAGAAAGAATTCCCTAGATAGAGAGCCTGGGGAAGACCATCCTAAATACACCTGGAAGTGTGAGAAGCTTGAATATGGAGATCCAAGAGGGACAGACCACTGGCAGCGGGGAGCCAGTAGAGATTTTCAGAAAGGGAATCAAGTATTCAGGTATCTTTGAAAACTCACCTAATTCTGCTCAGTAAATTGGTAAAGAAAAGAGCAGGGTGGGCATGAAGCCTAGTTAATTCTGACAGTGATTCAGGTCAGAAGCCATAGAGGCTTGAACTATAACAGCCTGATGGATAGACACGGAGAGGAGATGATACATCCTGCCTATTACATTCTTCGTTAGGTCCAAGAAAGGAAATTTCTTGGGATGCATGGGTGGCTCAGTTAAGCATCTGCCTTTGGCTCAGGTCATGATCCCAGGGTACTGGAATGGAGTCCTGCATCAGGCTCCTTGCTCAGCGGGGAGTCTACTTCTCCCTCTGCCTACAGTTTCACCTGCTTGTGCTCTCTCGCTCTCGCTCTCGCTCTCTTTCTGACAAACAAATAAATAAAATCTAAAAAAATTAAAAATTAAAACGTTTAAAAAAAAAGGAAATGTCTTGTTTTCCTGCAATACCATAAGTGCCCAATATATACTTGTTGAATGAATTAATAATATTCTAATAATTTATTTGTGTTATAAAACCTCAGGTGTGCCCTCCCTTCCTTACATCTCTCCCACCTCATCCCGAACCCTCAGTGCCATGATAATATTTGACCTGGCCCATGTAACCTGTTCAACAAGGTCAGTAGGTTTTTCCTTCCCCCTTTCAGGGGTTCGTGCCACTCTAGAATAGCCCTCTCTTTCTTTAAAGTTCCTCCCCACTAGAGCCATTCAATCAGCGGGTATTTACGAAGCACTTACATACTAATAGCTGACATTTCCCAAGCACTTACAACACCATCAGGAACTGGGCTACTCACTTGCCATGCATGTCTTAATCCTCATAACAGCCCAGTGAAGTCGGTGCCACTTTTGGCCTCATCTTATAGATAAGGAAGACACACCGAGGCTGAGTAACTTGTTAAGGTCACACAGCTAGTGACGAGCAGAACTGGAATTCATGCCCAGGTTCCGAGTCACTAGGTTATACTGCCCGGCATGGTGAGCGCTGTGCTGTTGGGGATCTAAAGACACGTCAGACAGATCTGTGCGGAGGAAGGATGTGAATACACAAAGAGTAAACCTTGCTGCTAAAAATATATAGTAATTCAAGGCAACACAAGGAAAATTGCCACAAACCAGGATTTGATTATTGCCAATATGACGGTAGGGGTAATGAGAGAGAGAGAGATCATCCCAGACAGGGGTAATCAGGAGACGCTTCAGGAAGGAGGTAGAATTTGTCTTGTGGTTTTCCTGCTATTTAAGGAGACACACTGAATTCCTTTGAAACAATGCAAGAACAACTTGAAGGTCACTAGTGGGCTGATGCAAATTGCAGTGTGAAATTAAAGAAGGGAGAGGTTAGTATCAACTGGAAAAGGCATCTAGTTAATCTTCCAGCTCTGAGCACCTGTGGATGGAGCCTAGTATGGATGGCCCAGGTACGGAATACGTTTCACTAACTCCTCTGCCTGATACCCCGTAGCAGACTCATTTCATACATACACATTCCCAGGTTGAAACAGGCTTTTTCTGTGACTCCAGTTTTCCCTTTAGATGTAGCCTCTCCCACTCTATTTTTCACACATCACCTGTGACCACAGCAGGGAAGACAGATCCCACACACGAGACTTAAGTTGATTCACTTGATGGCTCATTCCTTAGGTAACTTGGAGAAATGGCCCAGAGCAGGAGGAAGCTGGAGAGTCTGAGCATGGAGGTATGAGTCTGAGCATGGAGAAGAATGCTTGCTTATCCCCAGAGTAAACTCTCTTTTTAGCCTGACCATCATTCCTTCCCTTGGGAACACCTCCCCTACTCTGTTTGATCTAGATGAGACTCAATCAAATATGTCATCCCCTACCACAGCTGTAACCCAGATGACTCCATCCTCCTGGCCATGGTGACTGGGCCAAGCCTGGTGACAGGTGGGCCCCTTGCCCTCGAGCCTGCTAGCCTTGAGCTATAGGAGAGTGCCATTCATAATGGCAGGACCCAGTGTGAACCGGGGGCCCATCTATGATTTGAAGAGTAAATTCCCTCTAGTCCCTTAATGGGTACACATTCAGAGAGTGTTAGTTGATAAATATTTTGGGGTCTACACAGTGCTTATTCTGCGCTATATCAAATAAGGTTATATTTTAATTCCTGGGACAGAAGTACATAACAGAGGTGTAAACCTAAGGATCTTTGTACCAGTGGTGATTTGAAGAAGCAAAATAGGCATGTGCACCCATAGTCCCTACATCTAGACATCCTGTTAAAGCAAAAAGACTTTGGCTGTATATGGACAATTTTTCTTCCAGTAATATTGTACCAATTTACACCCCATTAGGGATCTGAAGATGTCTTTTTCTCCCTGCCCTTAAAAAAACTAAGTATTTAATATTTTTAAAAAAAATCAATTTGATAGATAATAATTTAGACTTTATTTATTTATTTTGATGGAGTGAGAACAAGCAGGTGGAGCAGCTGAGGGAGAAGGAGAAGCAGGCTCAATCCCAGGACCCTGAGATCATGACCTGAGCGAAAGGCAGATGCTTAACTGACTGAGCCACCCAGGCACCCCTGTTGTTGTTTTTCTAATTTATGTTTGCTTGATTTCCAAGGAGTTGGAGTCTTTTTCATATTTACTGTGCATTTTTATTTCTTCTTTTATGAATTACTCCTTTATTTTTTTAAAAAGATTTTATTTATTTGTCAGAGAGAGAGAGTGCACAAGCAGGAGGAGTTGTAGGCAAAGGGAGAAGCAGGCTCCCTGCTGAGCAGGGAGCCCAATGCGGGGCTCAATCCCAGGACCCTGGGATCATGACCTGAGCCGAGGGCAGATGCTTAACCTACTGAGCCACCCAGGCATCCCTGAATTACTCCTTTAGGTCCTTTTGCAACTTTCTATTGGGATGTTAATTTTTTTCTTACTGATTTTTAAGAGTTCTTTGTGTATGAGGGCCTCACAAGTTTATCTTAGATGTTGCAAATATTCTCAGTTTGTCATTTTCTTTGATATTTACCATGGATTCTTTTTTCTGTAATTTATAAACAACAAAATGCATCTACCTTAAATGTGCAATATGAGTTCTGATAAATGTATATACCCATGTATCCATGACCACTATCAAATTATAGAACATTTCTGTCACCCCAAAAAGTTCCCTTGTGCCATTTCACATAGATCTAATTTCCATTGCTTTATTTATATTTTTTAAGATTTTATTTATTTATTCGACAGAGAGAGAGCAGGAGAGCACAGTCAGGGGGAGCAGCAGAGGGAAAGGGAGAAGCAGGCTCCCCACTGAGCAAGGAGCTGGGTGTGGGACTCCATCCCAGGACCCTGGGATCATGACCTGAGCCGAAAGCAGATGCTTAACCAACTGAGCCACCCAGGTGCCCCAATTTCCATCACTTTAGATTAATTTTTCCTATTCTAGAACTTCATATAAATGGAACCATCCAATGTATACTTTTTCCACAAAACACATTTCTGAAATTCATCCAGGCTGTTGTGTTCTCAAAATAAATGTTTAAGAAAGTGAAAAGACAACTCAAAGATATGAGAAAATATCTTTAATACGTATTTCTGACAAAGGACTGGTATCATGGATGCTTTTGATATGCAAAATTTTTAAATTTTAAAGAAGTCAGATATATCTGTCTTTTCTTTATGTTGATAGCGTTGGTGTTATTCTTAGAAAGACACTGTTATGCCCAACATTAGACAACTACCCTTTTATAATTTTCTGATATTTTTATAATATTAAAATTTTAATCTAAAATTAAAATAAAATTAGAATTTTTATTCTATCTGAATTACTTTTCAAAAATATTAGCAAATTGTGGGGCATCTGGGTGGCTCAGTTGGTTAAACATCTGACTTTTGATTTTGGTTCAGATCATGACTTCGGGTAGTGAGATCGAGCCCCATGTCAAGGTCCACACTGGTCGTGGAGCCTGCTTAAGATTCTTTCTCCTTCAATAAGTCAATCAGAGAAAGACATGTATCATATGACCTCACTGATATGAGGAATTCTTAATCTCAGGAAACAAACTGAGGGTTGTTGGAGTGGTGGGGGGTGGGAGGGATGGGGTGGCTGGGTGATAGACATTGGGGAGGGTATGTGCTATGGTGAGTGCTGTGAATTTTGTAAGACTGTTGAATCACAGATCTGTACTTCTGAAACAAATAATACATTATATGTTTAAAAAAAAAAGATTCTTTCTCCTTCTTCCTCTGCCCCTCCCTCTCTGCTCACTCTCTATTTCTCTTTTTCTCTCCCTAAAAAAAAAGGAAATTATCTCAATACCATTTATTTATATTGTATCCCCCCCCGATTTAAGATGCCATGTTTATTAAATATTGAAGTATTTACAGACACGTGAATCAGTTCTGGTCTTTTTATTCTATTTTCCAGCCATGGGAACAACTGAACACTTTTATTAGTGGTAATATTTTTTCTGTTTTGTGCCCTGTGAATACTGACTTCTCTTCTCCTCTCTCTTTCCCCTCCCCCCCTTTCTTTTTCTCTTTCTCTCTCTTTTCCTCAATGATATGGGAAAATATGATTATGTTCGCCAAGGCAGACACCTTTCTCTATCAAGTCATCTTGATGCTTGGGTTTAGTGATAATATGCTTTTCCCCCTCTTTCCTCCCAATTTTACTGAGGAATAATTGTCAAATATAATTTTATATACTTAAAATGTACAATGTGATGGTTTGATATACATATATATTGTGTAATGATCATCAAGATCAAGATAATACATCTATCACCTATGAAAATATTCTTGATTTTAATATTGAAGTCATGTTTGCTTGGTGAGAGTGATGCAAAACAGGAGTATTGAAGTTCTTGGGAAGCTAGCTCATTACTACCCAATAATTCAGTGGATTTGATTTTACTAGTGAAAGAAAATCAGCCACTTTTTCAAATCACAGAGGTAAATTGCCTTTCCCATGGTACAAGTCTACAGGTGGCCCCCTAAAGAATTATTTACCATTCACAGTAGTTCTTATTTGTACAAAGACTTGAATCCCAAAGTTGCTTTAACCAGACCTAAAGACTAAATCTACTTGATTTCAAATTAAGAGGACAGGTGGAAAGGGAGCGTTACTCTTATTCATGGGAAAGTTACATTAAAATGATTTCTGTCTTACTTTCCAAAGTAGCCATTTGTCATTGATTTTAGCCAGGGGACAGGCATGTAAATAAACACCAAAAGAAAGACCAAACAGAGTATCTTCTGAACTCAATTTCGTGGTAGGATTGAGGATTAGGAGTAAAATTATGTGGATCCTAAGGGAGCACAGCAATTCAGGAGAGGGAGTTGGAGCGATGGCCAGCATAGCAATCCCTCCCCTTGGTATGAAGTCCCTTCTACATTTTTTTTGTCTTGGGGGAGGTTTAGGTTTGGTTTAAGGATGGAATTCTGATACAGGATATTCATATGGCTCATTTGAAGTAACGGACAAGAACACTTTGCAAAGGCTGACATGCTTTATAAATTTAAGGTGTTATTATTGTGTTTTTGAAAGTATAAGGAAGACTGGAAAAAGGTGATTATCAGCTAAAAACTGTATGCTGATAGTGGGAATTAAAAAAAAAGTCTTCATTTTTCCTTGAATCACCACCATTAACATTTTGGTACAAAGTTTTCCAGTCACAGTTTGTAAAACAAAACCTCTCACTTACAAGGATATAATAAGGAGTTTCTTTTCCCCGGTTCTTTGGGTCTGGCCCAAGGACTGGGTAAGCAGCTGTTTTGCAAAAACTGGCCTCTCTCCTTTCCCCTTTCGCAGTCTCTGCCCAATTGGCCAGCAAATTAATAAGGCTTAATGTCATTCAGTCTTTTAGCCAGGAATTAATAAACCATAGTCTCATAAGAAATTGTTTAGATGTTGATGGTACGTGGATTCACACTTTAAGAAACCTGTACTCTGTTTTAGACGTGGGGCGTTTTCACCACTTCCTGCTTCCCCCACTGAATGTGTGGCCTTGCAATGCCACGGCCTTGTGGTCTTCTTCTTTGTACTCTGGTGTCATCTGTTAAGGACACTGAAGGTCAACCCCTAATCTCACTTTCTAGTAAATAAATGGTTTGCATGGCCAAGATGAATCTCTAAATAGCTCAATGCCATAGAATCAGGTGGAAAGCAGACTTGAGAGTCCTTGGAGGAGGAAGAGAGAATAGCACATGGGCTGACATGGTTGACTTCAGGTTAAAATAATTGCATGTCTGTTTCTGATCTTTGTAAGGTATGGCATTTTCTTTCTTTTTTTTTTTTTTTTTAAGATTTTATTTATTTATTTGACAGAGAGAGAGACAGCGAGAAAGGGGACACAAGCAGGGGGAGTGGGAGAGGGAGAGGCAGGCTTCCTGCTGAGCAGGGAGCCCAATGCGGGACTCGACTCCAGGACCCTGGGATCATGACCTGAGCCAAAGGCAGACGCTTAACAACTGAGCCACCCCTGCGCTCCAGGTATGGCATTTTCAATTCCACCTGGCATTGTGGGACCTAATCCCAGCCATTTCACAAACTAAGTAGGTGGGCAATGCTAAATTAGGTGTCTTGGGCCTCTTTTGTTCATAATGAGAATAGGGATGTGTGTGTTGCTCCCATCTCAGTGTTATTCTAAAAGCTAGATATAATGATCAATGTGATGGGGCTCCGTAGAGTGCAAAACACTGTGTATTCCTTTAAGGGTGATACTTTTTGACCCCATTCACTCTGAGGGAAAAAAAAAAAGCTGAGTGTCTTGAAAATCAGAGGTCAAAGCTATAGGTTTTCTTGTAAAAATTCCAGTTCCAGTATGCATTTGCCAAAAAAAAAAAAAAAATATGTCTACAGTGGAGAACTGAGGAGAACCACTCATCTCCCAGTTTGGAAGTCAACCTGTGGGACCAAACGATTGTATGCACAGTAACATTTTTTTTTAAAGATTTTATTTATTCATTTACCAGAGAGAGAGTGAAAGAGAGAGAGCACAAGCAGCGGGGTGGCAGGCAGAGGGAGAAGCAGGCTCCCCACTGAGCAGGGAGCCCAATGTGGGGCTCGATCCAAGAACCCTGGGATCATGACCTGAGCCGAAGGAAGATGCTTAACTGACTGAGCCACCCAGGCATCCCAGCACAGTAACCTTATATCCAAAATATTCCATTTGTTGCTGCTTCTCCCCTCTCATACTTCAGAACCCCCAAGCCCCAGGCTGCAGACTCTCAAATTCCCTAGAATTGTGTTGGAGTTAACAGAATTCACACCCAAGCAGATTATGTTGACTATGAGACAGACAGACAGACAGAAAAGGGAGAGTGTCCGTGGTGGGGGGCACATGTGTCTCTGTGGTGGTGGTGGGAACATAGCAAGAATGACTTGAGAGTGTCAGAAGCTATCTAGGGAAAATGGCTTTGGGAAGGCACAGGCAGAGCTTTGGGGAGGTTCTGAAGATGTCTCCCCACATCCATGAAGTTGGATGTTAGCACTCCTAGATGACTACAGGCCTGGCTCCTGAGCCCAGTGTGGGGCAAAATAGGGGTATGCTGATGAGTGCTTAACAACTGGTTTGGCAGGGAAAGAGGCAATAAATGAAGCCCTGATCTACAGTGTTTGCTGAATTCTCGGGTGTCAGTACCACCACCATGGCTGAGTTCCAGCTACCAGTGTGACATCATGGAACATGGAGTTGGGAGGAAATGAGCGGTAACACCCCATATACAGTATCCCCACACAGAGATCCAGGAGACATAAATAACTTCAAGTGCATAGATAAGAGTAGGCGTAATGAAATAATTAGGAAGTGATGAGATTTAAGTATTTATTGTCTTTATTTATTTATTTATTTATTTTTATTTATTTTTATAAAGATTTTTATTTATTTATTTGAGAGAGAATGAGAGACAGAGAGCACAAGAGGGAAGAGGGTCAGAGGGAGAAGCAGACTCCCTACTGAGCAGGGAGCTCGATGCGGGACTCGATCCCAGGATCATGACCTGAGCCGAAGGCAGTCGCTTAACCAACTGAGCCACCCAGGCACCCTATTGTCTTTATTTTTAATATAATTTCTTTAATTGTATGCCTATATAATTTAATTTTTAATGATGGCAGTGTTTCAACATCCATCTGGCTAAATTCCTGAAATTTTGGCACTCAGCTCTCATGACTCCAGTACAAGCTGGTTTTGGACATTGGGTCTAAAGGAGAACAAAACACTCAGTATGTTAGAGGAAGATCCAAACTCCAAGGAGAATACAAGGCTCTTGCCTCCTCTATTTTATCTCTACCCTGACAGGAGAAGAGCCCTAAAATGGGTGTGCAACAAACAGCTGGGCTCCTTTAACATCCACAATAACAAAAAGTAAAACAAAAAAACTCCAAAACCATTACCTGCTGGCACAGAATTTTCATCCACCTCATGGTTAACCCATATCCATCTAGCAGATAGCAGGTCTGGGATGGAAGGTTTATAGGAAGGCTAAGTTTTGAGACGGAAAGAAGAGGGGAGCTTGCATAGTGTCAAAACGGGCAGAGACTATCATAGAAGTTACTAGAAGCCAGGTATGGTATTTGGACACTGGATGCTTAAGTTGGTGAGAGAAAGCCAGAAGGATAACGGAAGAAACTAACTCCTTGCCCTTCACAGTTCGGCCCTGGGCCCGTTCTGGCACAAAGTTTGAAGAACGTTTCCTCACGAGATTCTTACGGTAAAGGGAAAAAACCTTCTGTGGTCTCAGAAACACATCTTATAAAATAGGTCTCCCAGAATTCAGGCCACAGAGCTGTCCTCAGCAGCCATAATGACACACAAAATGAGAAGTGCCTGAGGCCTAGGTGCTACCAAATTCTGCCCTGCTGAGGACACATGGAGAGGAAAATGACCACATGCCATTTCAGTCCATTATCAGTCCAATCTACTTCTTGAGTGGCAGCAGAGTAGAAATCTAGTTCTAAAAATATCATTGTAATCCGTGGCTTGGCATAATCACACCTATCAAAAGCCAGGTTAATGTGTGTGTGTGCACGCTCTGTCTCTCGTGCATGTGCTCATGTGTGTGCAGGCTAGAATGAGGAAATGAATACTACCTTGTGCATATATGCAACAGTAATTTTCTTTCTTGTTTCGTATTTTCTTTCCGGGCAGCAGATTCAGGGGAGTTGGGAGAAGGTTGCGGACGCTGCTGAGGACTCATCAGGACCCAGGCACCACGTGCAGCATCTTCCATCCCTTACCCCGCACAGTGCTCGAGGACCTCTGAGGTGGGCAGTTGCACAGCCAGGAAGCTCCAGAACTGTGTTTTAAACGGATCTGCTAGAAACCAAAGACCCTACACTGTGCCGCTGCTGGTCCCACCCTTCACAGATCAGAGCAGGAATGTCCGGAGCTGGGTCATACTCATATAGCACTGTGCCCAGCTCCAGAACGGTCCCCAGCACAGAGGAGAGTCCACAAATCCTTGTTGGATGTAGTTATTTCAGAACAATGAGTTAACATCTGAGGGTTTGCCTGGCAGGGTGTGAATTGGGCAGAGACTCCACAACTATTCCAGGCCCAGCAATACCGCTTGAGAGGACATAAAACCAGATAATGGCAGACACCAATCCCTGTCTTGTATGAATGGCTACTGGTTTTCTCGTAAGTGGCACTGCTTGTCAGCATTCCTCAGCATGCTTTGAAGTCACGTGACTTTTGATGATAAAGGTGTGTTAGATTGTGTACCAGGCCATGTCTGTTTTTGGCTTTGGGGTACAAGGATGCTTTACACTCTGGGAAAAACCTAATAGAGGAATAATAGCTAGATTTGCGAAGATAGAACTTGGCGGTAGGGCAGGGAGGAGTAATTTTGTGCTACAAAATTATTTACCATGGGGTTCCTTTAGAGCATCATATTCCAGAGTGTGTTCAAAATATGAATCAATATGAGTCCATATTCTCCAGGCTGAAGCCACCATCTAGACCGGCCCTGTCCCCGTGCAAAGGAGCACTCAGCTCTGCCCTCCTTTGTTCTCCTTTCTTTTCTCCAGGTAGAGAAATGTCCCTTCAACTAATCTCAGGAAGTCTGGTGGAAAGGGACAAGCTGGCTGCCCCCAAGAAGGGAAGTTTGAGTGCAAGAATATTGACTGGGGAAGCAGAGGGGATGAGTGGAAAGATTTGTGACATCTGCTAAGAATGTTGCTGCATACCCAGGGGACACCCAACAGAGTGAGGCCCACCCTTGGGACTGTTTGCCCAGGGCTCCTGGGGAATTTTGAGGGAGAAAGAAACACAGTCCCCACAACATCAGAGCCCCCACCTGTTTACACTAACCGGTTTCCACCACCCGAGGGGGTAAATTGAGCTGCATATTTGATGATGAGGAAGTGAAGTGGAATGTGAGAATCCTCATTACTGACGTCAAGCTTGCCTTTCATTTTATTTATACCCATGACATTGTGACACGGGATCTAATTTTCCATTGTATTTTTTCCTCTGTTAGGACCCGAGTGATGACAAATGATTTTGTGCCTGAGCCTGGAAAACAACATTTCAAATTCGAAGCTTGGGATCCTGCAGGATTCGGTGTCTATTTCTATCTCACTGCCCGCCTGCCCCTCCCTTGAACCTCTGTACTGACCATCAAATTGGGCAAAAGGCATCATGCTCCTACCGGGCAAGGCTGCCCGAGAAGTCAGAGCGCAAGGTGCCCAGTGGCCCACTTCCCTCGGGTGACAGGCTGTTCCTTCCTGGCATGGGCGCTGGCGGGAGGCCAGGGAGCAATGGGGCCGCGAGGCAGCCTTGGCTCAGAGCCCTGGCTGCTGTCTGGGCATGAAACTGGGCTCTGGCACCAGGAGCGTGGTTCTAGCTCTCTGAGCCAGAACTGCCTGTGCAGCGACCACCCCAGCCCTCAGGCCCTGGTGAGGCCCAGTCCTTCTGCCCCTCAGGCAGGGCAGGTTCAGGAGCAGAGATGGATCTGGAAGGAATGGCAGAAGCTAGTAGAGGATGCTGTGGCAAAAGCAAGTAATGTCTCCACGCAGAGGAGCAGCCTCTGGGGGTGTGCCTAGGACAGAGGAGAGAATGGGTGTGTGTCCAGCGAGCGGGCAGAGCAGGCTTTACTCCGCTTCCTTGCTCTGCTGCGGACTAGGGGCCTCAGCCCTACCAATGGCCTCCCTCCATGACCTGCCAGGGCCTCCAATCCAGACACAGTGTCTCTACTGTCCTGAAACGAAAGCTCCACCTGGGTCCCGGCAAGCCTGTCTCTTTCAGGAGGGCCTCCTGCCGCCAGTTTTTCAACCCTGTTTTTCAGCCTCTGACCCCAGAGTAATCTCAACTTCCTTGTACTCAGTTCAGAAGATGTTTGCTATTCAGGATTCTGATGCAGAGGTGTGATAAGAGAGGCCTCAGGCCTTCTGAGTTCGTAAACCAACAAAGTCCAAGGATTTGAAAACCGAGAAGCATAAGGACAGCCACGCCCTGAGAGGTGGCCCAGTGCCAGGTCCTGTCACCTGGAATCATCCAAGATATTTAGAAACGGGTGTTAGCAGGGCTTTACTACGTTTACTCTGGATGTCTTACTTGTTTTGTTTTTGAAACAAGAGTTTCCCATAGCACCAACAAAATCAGATCTGTGTTTTATTGACTCTCCTGCAGTTCCTATGCTTGACTTGGTTTTGCTTTCCGCCTCTGTGTCAGTTTTCTCAGTCAGTTTGGGTAAAGCTGGCAGAGTAAGCTGTTGTGTAGAAATACAGTGTGGGAAAACAGGGGACACCTTCCAAGCTGCTGTGGTATCTCACCCCAAACTGGCCTAGCAGTGTGAGAGTTGCTTGAGGAAGAAGGGGCTGTCTTCATGTGCCCCAGCTGGGGCCAGGCCTTCACAATTCTATTTGCAACAGAACCCACCTTATACCAATGCTGAAAGCCTGTGTCTGTTTTATCAGCCCGTCTCACATGCTTCCCCTTCCTATGGGTGATTATACCAGGTGCTGGGGTGGAGGTGAGGTCCAAGGGCAAAGGAGGTGTGAATTAGACCCGGGTCATTTTCCTCAGCCAAAAAAGGACAGCAGTAACACAAGACTGCAGGAAATACAAGTTTGGTGGTACGTTCATACTAAGTGGGCTCCACAGGCTCAGGGTATAACTGGACATGCTCTAGGTTTTCTACTGGGAGGCTGGTGTCACTTAGAAGTCCCTTTCCCAAGGCTCAGTGGAAGGTTGCTTGGGACAAGTGCATGAAAGTTGTTGCCAGATAGTCCAGGGTGCAAATGCTTCCTTAGTAGCTCTATGATCTTGGGAGGGTACTTAAGTTTTCTAGGCCTCAGTTCCCACATCTGTAAAAAGGAGATACTGAGCCTGTCACATAGAGTTAATGTGGGGGTTAAATGAGATTAGGAAAACAAAGCGTGTCTACCGCATTGAACACAGAGTAAGGACTCCCTCCTTGGACTGGAGATCAGAGAACCCCACAGGCGGCCTGCTTTTAAGTCTTAGCCCAGCCAGGTGGGTCCACTTCTATGAGTTTTCTTTGTGACAGATGCAAAGGTTGAGAATCCGTATGCTGACTGAACAGATATGATTGTGCTGATTAAGACTGGGGTGAAGAGACAAGTGAGCCTCTCAACTCAGTGAACACAGTGTGGAGAGAAGAATTGTCTTTGTGAACAAGTGTAAGAGCAGAGCTGAGGAACACAGAAACACAGCCAGCCTGATCCTTGCCATGCTGCCCAAGGTAGAGTTGGGTCAGGTGGGGCTGCCCCTGCCCAGATTGTCTCTGCCTTAAGTCTGCCTTGAAGGTTCAAGTGAACCTGATTTTGTCTTGGGGTTCAGGAAGGGAACATTGAAGTATGCTATAGGGTCCCTAGCACACTTTACCCAGGACAGGACCGTATCCCCTTCTCCTGACCCCCATCGCCCATCATGGCCCCCAGCTGCCAGCTACCCACAATCCTCTGGGTGTTCTTGTGTAAGGTGAAGTCTCAACTAGGAAAAGCACTGAGTGACACACTTGTCAAGAGGGATCTTGACAATGGACAGGGAAGGAAGTCTGAGAGACAGGGAGTCATAAGTGGTCTTTACTCTAGATGGTGAATAAATGAGACTTGGTTATTTTTCATGCTATGCCTTTTCTGACTGGAGGCAAAAGTTCACATGGTGAACTCAAAAAATACTTTGGGGTCTCACACCAGGTTGGCTAGGAAAGACTGACCAATAAGCATTGAGTACCTACTCTGTGACAGGCATGGTGTAAGGCTTTGAGTATACATGGTCCTTGCCTTCACAGAACTCAGATCTGGTGAGGAAGGTAGATTTTTTAAAAAGAAGATTTATTGATTAGAGAGAGGGGGGAGGGGAAGGCCAAAGGGAGAGAAGGAGACTCTCAAGCAGATGCCCTGCAGAGCACAGAGCCCAACAAGGGGCTCAATCTCAAAACCTTGAGATTATGACCTGAGCCAAAACCAAGAGTTGGTCACTTAACTGACTGAGCCACCCAGGTGCCCTGAGGAAGGTAGATTTTTAAACAAACCCACCAACAGTTGCATAATTTGCAGTTTGTGATAAATGAATAATTATATGAGAGAGTAACAATGGGGATATGATACAGATTGGGGAGCTGGGGTCAAGATAGTTCTTTCTGAGGAATTGACAGATAAAGCCTAGAACAGTGCTTCTCAAGTTATTTTTATTTTTTATTTTTATTTTTTAAAGATTTTATTTATTTTTTGACAGAGAGAGACACAGTGAGAGAGGGAACACAAGCAGGGGGAGTGGGAGAGGGAGAAGCAGGCTTCCCGCTGAGCAGGGAGCCTGATGTGGGGCTTGATCCCAGGACCCTGGGATCATGACCTGAGCCGAAGGCAGACACTTAACGACTGAGCCACCCAAGCACCACCCCCCTTTTTTAAGATTTTATTTATTTTTAGTGCTTCTCAAATTTTAATGTGCATCAGAATCACCTGGAATTTGTTTAAAAAAAACAAACAAACAGATTTCTGTGTAACCCCCACCAGAGTTTCTGATTCAGTAGGTCTGAGGTGGGTCCAAGACTGCATTTCTAATAAATTCCTGGGTGATGCTGAGATTGCTGGTTTGGAGGCCACACTTTGAGAACCACGAGGCTGGAGGATTGGTAGGAAGTAGCCAGGTAAAGAGTGTGGGGCGGGGTGGGGACACCAGTACAGCAGAGGGAGCAACATGTACAAACACCCAATCTGGAAAAGATCTGGGGGGGGGGGGTTCAGGTAATAGAAAGGTCAGTGTGTCTGCAAGACCGTGAATTCGTGAACCAGTGGTGATGAGATGATATTAGAGGTGAACCTGACCCTTATTCCCATCCTGATACTTACTCCACGGGAGACTCTCTAGTGGTAGCATGTCTAAGATGAATGGTTCCATTGACCCTGAGAGATGTCTGCTACAACTTGAGGCTAATGGAATAGTGCTGCCCCTGAGGTACTGTGAAGATTCAAAGTGGTAATGTATGCAAAAGGCTAAGCTAAATGCTTAGTCTGTTCTAGATGTCTTTCCTCCTGCTTTCCCTGACTTGAAACATGACCCTGTCTATAGTTTAGCTAGAAGAGGACATGTTCCCAAATGGGTGCTCAGGTGTTAACCTAGAGCTGCAAGCAAAAGGAGTTAATGTGGAAGTGATCCATGCTATCTAAATGGGGATAAGGTTCAATAGTTGGGTATAGATAAGAAATCTGGATACCGCTTCCAAAGAGCAGGTGTGTGTGTGTGTGTGTGTGTGTGTGTTCTCTTACATCTCCTGCAATTCATTAATGTCACGAATTTTAAACCAAAGAAAGCATGGGCTGGGTTTTTGGGTGCCAAAGTGCACAGTTGACATTATGCCAACTCAATTTAGACCACATTTACTCAGTGCTCACTCTGTGCCAGGTGCTATTCTAGGTGTTGGAAAGACAGAGGTAGGTGAACAAGGCGAGGTCCCTGCTTTTGAGCTCCTACTCTCACTGGGACATGGGCACATAAGTAACACAGAGCAGCGGGATGAAAGCCATAACAAAGGTCCGTACAAAGGGCACTAGAAACTCGGGCAGAGCAGTTTTGCCGGGGGAAGTCAGAGAAGGTCACAGACAGAAAGTGACATTGGAGCCAGGCCTAGAAAGGAAACATCTAGAGAATGAGCAGAACTGAGGGACAAATGAACAAACCTCCTTTAAGAACTTTATTGTTATTGTTTTAAGCTGTGACCTAAATCATCATTATGAGCTTCTAGAAGATACATGGCCACATGGTATTGAATATGATTTAAAATATCACATAAACTGGTATATATAGAAACACATATGGAAACAATCTGAAAATATTTCTCCTCAAATATAGTGCCATTTGCTTTTATGAATTTGCTATTTCTGGATGAAAAAGTAAAATACGGTTTGGTCTGCTGAGACACAGAAGAAATTCTGTTGCCATCCCAAGTGAAAATAATTCTGGCTGCTAATTCATTCATGTATTTAGTTAGTCAACAAATATTTGGTAAGTTCGGTTTTTGAAGCACTGCAAGAGGCCCTTTAGGGGCAACAAAGACTCCAAGATACTGTCCTGCCCTCAGGATTCTTCAGGGCTTAGGAGTGAGAAAAACACCTGAATGTAAATAACTCTAACATAAGTGGTGGTAAGTAATATGAGTGAGTACAAGCAAAACGCTCCAAGTATCTTGAGGAAAACAAGTTATTTCCTGATTGGGATAATCATGGAAAGCTTGAACATTGACGGAGAAGCCATTTGGGCTAGGCCTTAGAGGTTGGAAAGGGATTGGACATACAGAAACCAGGGTGGGGGCGGGGGGGGGGGATATTCCAGACAGAGGTAGGTTTGCGAACCAAATGGGTGGGAGATCACTGAGAAGTGGCACTTTGGCCTGTTCAGGGGTATGGCTTGGAGAAAGAACTAGAATAGGTAGATGTCAGCCTCACAGCCAAGTTTGAACTAGATTCCCCTGGCTGTGACTTCTTGGAATTTGAAATGCCGAGCATCTGTCACTTGGTTTCTTGTACACTTGTTTTAGTTGGCATCTCAGGCCTGACCTTCATCTTGGCATAATTTCGTCCAACCCATAGGATATGTTTTTAAAAAATCAGTCTGTGTATGCTGATAGAAGTACCATCCCATTGTGGTTCCAACTTGCCCTAAAGGCCATGGATTAAAGTAGGTCTTGTTCTTCAGGAATTTATAATTCCATGTCTGGAGGTTGAAAGAGAAGGGTTTTATATCACAGTCCCTTCAGGAAACAGATGAAGGCTTGTCCTGCACAAGTGTGGGCAGGTGTAAGGAAACCCACAAGGGATGGTGCAGTATCCATGAGCTAGTGAGAGTCTAGAAGCTGTTACCATCTCTAGGCTGATGGTGACACCCTTAGGACAGGCGACACAGCAAACATTGGAACTTGGAGAGAGCTCTGTGCTCTCATGGAGTCTCATAGCTACTGTCCACATTCTCACCCTGTGTTGATGCCCCGCATTGGCTGAACCCAACTGACTGGAAGTCAGAGGGCAAGGGCCCCATTGCTGTATTCTGTCCAGGTCCCCCTCCCAGGGCACAGGGTGGGGGAGGAAGGACGTAGAGCCCATCTGGAGAGCAGACAGAGAGATTGCAGCACAATCCT